GTGAATGTTATTGTAAGTAAATTATACCTCAATAAACCTGACTTTTAAAAAGTGCACCCTGAAATCTTAATCCTATTTCTAAAAATATCCAACTTATTCTGAATTCTTTGATTCTTTAAAACATTTAGAAACATACCTGTATGGTGCATAGAACTTAAATATTCATTCTGTAGGCCATTCTCACTTTTAGTCCTATCAACAACTTTCTGGCATGCAGATTCTCCTTTATTCGATTCTTCATTTTCACTTGCAGTATGATTTATTTTTTTCAGACTACATTTCACACTGCTTATGTTTCTCCGATAACGAGGGTCACTTTCTTCCTGTTCATTATTTGAATCAATTACAGCTACGCAATGCTTTCTGTTTAGCATCTTCTTAATTACAGGCTTGGCAGAAGAGTTTTGTGAACAACTGTCCATTTCACTGGCTGAAGGAGAAGAAATACAACTGTCCTCTACAGTTGAACATTTTTGCATGACTGTGTTTTCATGGTAATGAGGATTAGGTTCATACTTTGGTTTTTCCAAACCAGGGAAACAAACAACAGCCAAAAACCAGTGTGCACTGTAAAAAACAAATGAAACTACTGAATATATTATTAGAAAAGTTTATTATATTTGGCAATAAATATTAAAATGTTTTTTCCTAAAGCTTTTGTAAACAAATTTATTAAGTATGCCCAATTTTTTCAATTCTCAAATTATCCACTTGTTTACATGATCGATTAACAGAATACAGTGTCTATTCAAAAATAACATAATTTTTGTCAGAATTACGTAGTCTGCATTCACTTTTGCAAATAATCCTTTGAACCGTTTCTTGCTTTGAATGAAATTTTCATTCAAAATGAAATTCATTGTTTTTCAGGCAATTTAACAAAATGTGAAGTACATCTCTGCAATTCATCATTCCCAATTATGTTTTCTTTGCCCTATTTATGACAATAAAAAACTAGCCTCAAGATTAAAATGTCTTCAGAAGTCTAATTAGACTTTATAATTTTGAACATTTTCTAAATATTACACATAACTGCTTTTTAAAAACTTTTACCACATCTGTGTTTTTCTTATTAATAAGGCAGGAATTTCTTAATACTGAAAATTCTTTGTCTCATGCTATATTGAAATAAAATATATTAAATTAAAATAATACATCCAATCTAATCATAACAAAACTTCAAGTATTAATAGGATTCCAGCTGTCAAGTGGGTGCTCATGATATAGCCGAATTCAGATTATCACAGTTCCCAAAAGTAGGGTATAAGCCATGAGTAAGAAGCTGTACAGCTAATATTGGTTAATATTCATTAACCTAATGAATTTTATTAAAGGCTTACTATTTGGTAGGCACAATATTATGTGCTGGGATATAATGAACAGGCTATACATGTCAGATAATTTAGCTCAGCACAGTGTCATATATTAGGGTGTTCAACAGATATTTACTGAATGAAAAATGAATTATCTTGACATGGATAAAAGTTATTCTATATTCTATTTCTGAAAAATGTCAAATTCCCCCAAGGTAATACTAAGAAACAGCACATCTCTTCACCAGATAGCGTAAGCAGAAAGGCCACAGAGGCTGGCTTCATTGTCAGTGTTGTAAAGACCAGATGGAGGAATGCTACTCTCCGTTTTTAATTATCAACCTCAGCATCCTATGGACTTAGGTCAGGCTGGGGTAGGAGAAGAGCAGCACACCACCTTCCTCACTTCATCAACTCTAAGATACAGCTGACTGGAAGGCATATCTCAATTTCAGAAATGTTAAAATGTGAAAAACGTGTTTTAAAAACTGGCTAAGTATGGTATAATACAGTGATTCTCAAAGTCTATCACAGTTCTAAACATTTTGCAGTTATGATAATATACATAAGCCATAATTTTTCTGTTGCTTCACCTAAAAACTTGGAAAAATTCTTCCTGCATCTAGCTGAAAAGAGAAAGCTTTTGAGGTCACTTCCAACCTCCAAGAGCCAGGTTTTGCTTTTATGATCCCTTTTAATAGCAGCTACCTTAACCTTAAGTCTATCCGTGGGAGATGAGGCTAACGCAAGGAACTTCACTTAAAGATGGATTAGATCTAAATGTTAAATTTCTGCTCCTGTCAATTATGACAACAATTTAAATTTTAAAAAACATATAAACTTTTACCTTGAAGAAATTACAACCAGGAAAGTTAATAATAATACAGATGACAAATATATGGCAGCCTATCTAACATAATCAGTGTATATAAATATTTCTTTACATCTCAAAAAAAAAAAAAAGAAGCCCTCACGATCTGGAGGCTATTCTTCCCATCTACAAATGGATAGATCTCTTGCAGAACACTTTACTAACACCTTTGTTCATTATCTACCTTTCACGAAGATGACTGAAAGCAATGAATGTAGCTTCCCTCCAAATCAGATACAGTGATAAAGAGGGATGTGCCCCTGTTGTTAAACTATGTGTGCCTCAAATTATATTTCTAATTTAAATTTTTATAATTAATTTCTGACAAATGGCTTTCTAGGTATATGCTCCCTTTAACCTAGTGGGAAGCTCACTTGTTAAGTTATATGACATATTAATGTCAAGAAACCTTATTCTGAGGAAAATGAAGAAATTAAAGATTAGTTTTAAACATAGTTCTAAATTTTATTATGACACTATGTTTGACTTGAATATATAGCTTTGAAGGAGTTGGGCTTTACAGCCATAACCAGTGTTTTAACCTAGCCTACCTATCTTTGGCTGGGCTAATTAGCGAGCACAGGTCTTATGATTAAAGCATGACTTTAAATAAGCAGAATTTGATTATACCATAGAGTGAAATTTGTTTTTCATAGTGAGAAAAAAGAGCACATTCAGAAGCTATCCTGGCAGTCTTCTTAGACATAAAAAATCATACAGAATATCAACTTCACACAAGGTTACTATGCAACCATGATAAAATGAGACAAAGTAAGGCCATTTCAAAATCTAAGCAGAGACAAATATAAGGTCACAAAACACCAAATGTTCTTTTTTTGCTAAATGAGTGAATGTTATTTCTTTACTCAAACAAACCACTGCTTCCTTTGACCTCCCCCTAAACTGCCAAACCAAAGCCCAAATCCTGTTACAGGCTCTATCAACCACACTTTTACTGGGACGATCCACGGTTGCCCGTGGTGTGCGTTCTCCCTGGGTCCAAGGAGTAACCCTCACTGTGCAACATTTATAGGGGTATTCCTGGGGTCTCCGGCTGGCAGGCGTAGGAAATTTTTAAAAATCCAATACAAAAACTCTCAAGTCTAAACTGTATAATACTACTATCCTATACATCTATGCCTCTAGTCATTGGGTGACAATAATGCACACTGTTTAACTTCCCCAATTTACTTAGGAAATAGCTTTAAGTGGTAAACATGGTTTTCAATGAGCAAATGACATAAATCCAGCCACTTATTCTTCTTTTTGGTTAAGAGCTACAGTATGCTTTAAACTAAAGATTCAAATTCTACTATGTGATCTAATCATCTTTCTCTAACCTTTTCTATAGGATGTTTGCTAGACACAAAGCACCATTTTAAAAAAATGACATTATTCCATACTGATGAATAAAAGACCTACAATGAAACGTGAAAAGATCTATCTGGTGTCTCTGAAGTTCAGTATCTTACACGATTCACTGGAAAACCGCATTAATTTCCATAAAATAAGGAGTATAAGTATAAATATATACAATCAGTATCAGAAAGAAGTTTAATAAAAATGGATGATTTATTCACCTCATAAACACATTTTCTAAAAACTGCCATCACATTTACATAAAGGAAACTCTTACTCACGCTTCATTAAGGGGTACAAAAATAAAATCCTTCTCAAAAATATCTACATGCCGGGTCCATGTTTTGACTCTCCCATGTCGCTTTTGTTGTATTCTGTAAGACAAGAGAGAAATTATCAAGCTTCTGAAATGTTTCTAGCATTTCAGCTTATATGCAGCAATTCATAAATCACGAAGATTAAGATGTTAATAGAGCAAAAAGTTCTGTAAGATGATTTAACAAGTTGCGAGAAGAAAGCAGAACATTTGAGATGGAGTAGGAAGATGTAAAACTGCCCATCACTGAATCTGGAAGAAAGCGGTTAATTCTCGCTACTACTTACTACAGTGGACCAGAGTTACTATTTTTATTGTTGCAGAACTGGTTTTAGCAATGATACTGAAAAGCATTTCAGACCATGACCTAAAACAACTGAGGAGAAGACACCAGGAAAAGTGAGCAGTATCTTACAGTACGTGAAGCAGGACAGACGACCAGCACTGGTCAAAACCAATCACTATCATCAACTCTAAGGTGTAAAATCAGGAATCACTGAAATACTAGAAAATATTCTTTACATAATGCATAGCTGCCATTAATTCAAGACACCTAACAGCACTTATGGCAAAAAAAAAAAAAGTACCAATTCTTTGTGTATATCTTATGACCAATTACCAGAAAGTATTAAAGCTAGATGCAGTCACTATGTGGAGCGAAATTATAAACAAAATTACTCAGGCCTTATATGTAGAATAGTATTTCCTTAACTAGCGAGGGAATTATCCAAAGAATTTACTAAAATTACAGATTCACAGGCTCCTCTGTTAGATATTATAGATGGAACATCTAGGATTAAAACAGAACTATCTGTATTTAACTAGTATCCAAGTAATTTCACTTTTTTAAACTATCAGACATATTTGGGACATACTGATCTAGATATTAGACCTTTATAAATTCCAGGTATTCTTGAGGCTTTAGAGTATTATCAATTATATTAGTTTTGCCAATTGATAATAGGACTAAATATTGTTACTTCAATACAAGTAAGTTTAACTTGGTAAAAAATCAGTTAAGTAACTTACTACATCTTAAATATTTTCAAAGAGCTTGACTTACGATAGATTAGTTGTTTCATGAAGATTTCTCCTCTCTCTCTGATTAAGGCGTTTATAGAAAAAAGAACTGAATATATGAATTCGGTCAGCTTCTTCTTTCTTCAATTTTTCAAGCACCAAATATCTATTTTATAAAAAAAAGATTCCAAATATAATGAATTTAACATTTTACTTTATACTAAAAATAGTCACACAGTGATCAAATACCTATTTCCACCATCAATCTCTATTTCTTTAAACTGAAAGAAGTTATTAACAAACTTTATTTCATATTCCAGACAATGATTACTACCAGATTATTCTTAAGTAATGAAAGTGAGGTTTGAGAGTAAAACTAGGATTTGAAAGATCTAATCCTTTGAAACAAGGGCACATTTATGAACATCAAAAGATTATTTAGCACAGACAAAAAATAGAAATGACAGAAATGTTCATCAACTGATAAGGGGAAAAACAAAATGTGACATATCCATAAATGGAATATTTTTTGGCCATAAAAGATAAAGTTCTGAAACATGATGTAACATAGAAGGTCCTTGAAAATATTATGCTCAGTAAAGAAGCTAGTCCTCAAAGACCACATATTTTATGATTCCACGTATATGAAATGTTCAGAATACGCAAATCCATGGAGATAGTGCGGAGACTGGTGGCTGCCTAGAACTGGCGTTGGGGCTGGAGAGAAATGGGGAGTCACTGCTAATGGGTAGTGAGGTTCTCCTGGGGAATAAAAATGGTCTAATGTCGATTATGGTGACAGAGGCACAACTGTCTGAATATACTAAAAACCACTGAATTATACACTTTAAATGGCTGAATCATAGGCCATGTGCATTATATTTCAATAAAGCTACTATCTTTATGTATCTTTATTTTGTTTTAAACAGTTCAGCTAATAAACCATGAAGATTCAGCCATAAATTATTTTTATAAAAACAGAAAAGAACCTGTACAGTGGTGAGGTTATAACAATGATTCTTTAAAGTGATCTTACATTAGTTTTCATTTTTCCTTGCCTTGTTTTTTTTTCTATAGGTCTACATCAAAACAAACAGCAATAATCCTTTAGATCACAAAGGGAAATCATGATATATTAAATTTAACTGTTTATGTTCCAAATTTCCTCAAAGGAGCTACACAAATTTCAAGCTTATGAATATACTCATTTATTAAAATGAGGATAATATAAAAGCCTTGTGAAATGTTACACAGAAACAGCAAATGGCCAGAGGGCACATTTCCGAGACCTGTCACTTTTATCATAATATTAGGTAATTCTAAAGCTTAAGTTCTGAGGAGGATATAACTTACTGATTTCTTGCCTTAGGACAACTCAGTGTGCCCCCACAAAAGATTCAAGATGGTGAATCACTCATGACAGAGTTTAAATCAACTGTTGAATTCTACATATATACTTAAAACAGAGAATGTAGTGAACGAGACTTGACTTTAGGGGCTATCCATCATGGGTGAGCCATGCTGCTTTTACCAGCACAAACTACAATGGCTACTTTGTAAACTGAATCAAACAGACAAAGGAATAATTCAACTTAAACAAGGAAAGTTATTGGTGATTTAAGAAAACTGACTCTATTCTCCACTTCATATGTAAACAAATGCACGCCTTTTAATTTAACATAACTATTTTGTTTTTCTGATCTGATATACATCCATAAGTATAGCCATGACTATATATAGTTCTGGGGTTTTTTATGTACATGTATTAGAATTATTCACTTTAGTTGGAACAGCTCTGTCTCTTATTTTAGAATTAAAAGGAAAACCCAAATTTATTACCAAAAAACCTGTGGGAATTTCTTTCATTGAGGCGCAGTTTTTTTTCTTTCAGTGTGTATCATTTATTTAAATATTGAATGTCACAGTGAAGCAGTTCACTTGCTATTTTATAAAGTGGACAATCTAACAACTCAATCATGACATTTAATTGTAGGATGAAGTTAAAAGATGAATTTAAGGATTTGTAAGTAATTTTTATTAAAATAATTATTTTCTTCTCTGCATTTTAACATTCTCTAGATATAATGCCCTTCTATTTCTTATAATATTGGCAAACTTTAAAAGTTTGTTTCTAGCTTGTAGTGTTAGAAATGGAAAAGAATGAGCAGCTCTGATAGCAGCTGAATTACTTACTTTAATAGTGAAGTTTTAAAAAGTTTCCTCTTTTTAATTCACTTCTAAAAATGTCATGAGAAATATAAACACTGATTTTTAAAAAAAATCATGATTTTCGTTAGAATCTCTACTTTATTTGGAAGTGATTTGCATCAGAAAAGGCAGAACTTGTAGACAATGTAAATTTACTGTATAAAATTTGTTTCAAAGTCTAACTATAAGATGTCAAGAAGCCTCCCGAAAATGTAAAGAATTTCAAGAGAATTAAAAAAAGACCATAAAATTTCTACTGTAATGCAAAAAGTGTAGATTAGTGAAGTATGAAATAGAATAAACTAAAATGTAAATAAAATACAGGAGGTGCAACTTATTTTTTACCCAATTACATGCTTTCAAAAATAAACATTTTATACTAAAGATCTCAATAGGTTAAAAGTAAAAGAGTGAAGAAATATATGCCATGCAAACACAAACCAAAAGAAAGCTGGAGGAGTTATATTCATTTTGAACAAAATAGGATTAAAAACAAGGAGATTATCAAGAATAAAGAGGAACATTATGTAATGATAAAGGTATTGACTCTCCAAGAAGACATAAACATGTATGTACCCAACAGAGCTTCAAATACACAGGAAGAAATAGACAAATCAATAATTATAGTTGGAGATCACAGACTTTCTCAATAATTGACAGAACAAGCAGAGAGAAAGTAAGGACAAAAATGATCTGAATAGCAGTATCAAACAACTTGACCTAATTGACGTTCACAGAACAAGACTTTTATCCAACAACAGCAGTGTTATTCTATACAGTCACAGCTTTTCAGTAGTTTGGTTTAAGGTAGCATATACTCGGATTAAGGGATAACATATTCTTTTTAAAATTATGGGGAAGAAAAGCATAATATAATTTGCACTATTAACCATTTTTAAGCGTGCAATTCAATAGTGTTAAGTATTTTCACACTGTTGTGAAAATGATCTCCAAAACTTCTTTATTTTGCAAAACTGAAACTCTATGTCCATTAACAACTCCCTTTTCCCGTGCCCCTCAGCCTCTGATCACCATTACTTTTTTTTTCTATGAATTTGACTACTTCAGATATCTCATGTAAGTAGAATCATACAGTGTTTGTCTTCTTGTGGGTATCTTATTTCACTTTGCATAATGTCTTCCAGATTCACCCACGCTGTAGCATGACAGGTTTCCTTCCCTTTTAAGGGTGAATAATATTCCATTGTATGTATATACCACATTGTGCTTAATACACTCATCCATCAATGGACATCTGGGTTCCTTCCACTTCTTGGCTATTATGAATAATGCTACTATGAACATAGGTGTGCAAATATCTCTTTGAGACCCTACATTCAATTCTTTCGGACATAAACCCAGAAGTGAGCTTGCTAGATCATACAGTAGTTCCGTTTTTAATTTTCTGAGGAACTGCTATACTGTTTTCTGCAGAGGCTGTACCATTTTACACTCCCACCAGCAGCGCACAAGGGTTCCAATTTGTTCACATTCTCTCCAGTTCTTTTCTGGGTTTGGGTTTTTTGTCTTTTTGATAGTGGCCATCTTAATGAGTGTGAGGTGATAACCCATTGTGGTTTTGATGTGCATTTCTCTGATGATTAGTAATTGTGAGGATCTTTTCATATGCTTGTTTGACATTTTTATGAGAGAAATAATACCTTTTGATTTACCTATCAAGAACTTTGTTTGAACTTGTCCTTGAATGTGTCTGTTAGGTCTGCAAAGTTAGCATTTAAAATCTAGGACAGTTTCTCTTGCCAGCATGTCTCTGACACATTTTATAACTTACTGAAACATATTCCATTTCCATTAAATCTTCAAAAGGAAAAACAGTTCCTTTGGAAAGGGGGTATAGGTAACACAAAAAGGAGTATAATATTACTCCATGATGCTAAGTTTAAGTAAGTAAATCCTGTTTACTGATGGTGTTGTTGAGTTCTTCTCTATCCCTGTTAATTTTGTTTAGTCGTTCTATCAACTGTTGGTAGAGGGAAATTAAAGTCCCCAGTTGCATTTGTGGACTTGCCTGTTTCTCCTTTTAGATCCATCAGTTTTTCCTTCAAGTACCTTGTAGCTGTACTGTATGGCACGCACCTATTCAGTATTACTAAAGCTTACTGGTGGATTAACTTCCTTATCATTGTACAATGTCCCTCTCTATCCCTGGCAATTGTCTTCCTCGCAAATTTACTTTATCTGATACTAATATATAACTCCTGCTTTCTTTTAATATTTGCACTGTATATCTTTTTCCATCCTTTCCTTTCAACATATATATATATACCATTATCTTTAAGTGAATTTTTTCTAGACAGGACATAGTTATGTTCTTTCATTCACTCTACCAGTCTTGGTTTTTTGATACATTGAGTGCATTTAAATTGAATGTAGTTAGTGATATGTTCTGTCTTCTAGTTCACTGATTCTCTCCTCTGTCCTCTCTATTCTGCTCTTGGGCCTAGCTGTTAAAGTTATTTGTTATGGTAGTCTTAGTTCTAAACTTTCCATTTCTTTCTTCTTTATATCTTCCTACATTTTTCAGAGGCTTCACACCTATATTCATAACGATTCCTTAAAGAATTTTTATGATGACTCCTTTAAAATCTTTGTCAGATAATTCTAAAATCTGTGCCATCTCAGTGCTGACTATTGCCTTTTCTCACTCAATCTGAGATCTCTCTGGTTCTTGGTGAGACAAATTTTCAATTGAAATCTGGGTTATTTGAGGATTACAAGATTCTGGATCTTATTTAATTCTTGTGTTTTAGTAGGCCTCCCCTGGTAGCATATTCTAGTGGGTGAAGTGACACCACTCCACTACTGCCAAGTGGGGGATAGAAATTCAGGTTTTCTGGCAGGCCACCATTAATATCAGAGGTAGAAGGGCTCCATGTGACTGACAGGTGGGGATGGGAGGCTCCCTACAAGGCCTCCACTGATACCACCTCTGCTGGATGGGGGGAAAGGAAGGATGCCTCAGTTTCCCCCAGAGACCAGGATGCAAGTCCAGTTATACGTTTGATCTTAATTAATTAGCTCAGGGCCATTGTGCCTCAAAGTTATTCTCAGCCTTTATCTGCTTAACCTCTGCTGAAATGAAATCACCAAATGTACCTTTAAAGCTTTCACCTTTGAATTTCTCTTGTTACCTCTCAAAGACCTTTAGAATTTATTTGTGGGAGCCTCTTTCCTTCCTGTTTATCTCTTAAAATCTACTCGTAAAGTTCTGTCCTTACAGCTGTTTTTCTCACTCTATATCCCTACCTATGCAATTTCACACATTCTCGTAATTAAACTATCACTTGTAAAGTAAAGCCTGACCTCTAGAACCATGTATACAACTGTTTGGCACTAACCCTTCCGTTGTATCACAGTTATCTAAAAGGGAAGTTGTCCCCTCTTCCACCCAAACCTGTTCTGCATCTACATTCATTGCTTCAGTTAGTGGCAAAATCATTTAGCACATGTCACTAGTAAGAAAACTAGGAGTTATTTGGCACCTATTTATTTTTCTCCTTTTTAATATCCATTCAATCAGTCCTGGACTCCTGCTAAACAACTCTACCTCTTAAATTATTTAATTATTTCCTCTTCATTCCAACTATTTAATTAGGCTTCTTATATTACCTTAATTCAGCTTCCTTAAATCATCATTTATCTAGACATCCACAATGAACATGCTTCTCAAAATATACACCATTTTTCTAATCAAAAACTCTCATTCTTTTTTTTTATTTTTGGTTTGCTTTTGTTTGTTTGTTTGTTTGTTTTGGGGGGGAGGTAATCAGCTTTATTTACTTACTTATTTATTTTAATGGGGGCACTGGGGATTGAACCCAGGACCTCATGCATGCTAAGCAGGTACTCTGCCATTGAGCTATACCCTCCCTCAAAGCCTTTCATTCCTGATAACAATGTTTTCTTTCCCCAAACTATGGGTTTGTAGCATAGCAACCATTTGCAGGCTATAAAATCAGCAGCAGCTTTTAACAACCAGTTAAAAAAAAAATTGTCTTATGACATACATTTGAATAAACTAGAAGATATTAGAGCACTAGGTACAGTGAGAGTTAAGTTGTTTTGTTTCTTACACATCCAATTTTATATCACAAAGCAGTAAGCACATACACATTTAGACATGTAAAAACACACTGCACATACATGGATACGCATGTGTATTCTGAGTCATGATGTGAGCCCTTCTAGGAAAGCTTCTTTGTCCCTCACATTTCCCAGCCCCCCAAAGAGAACAAAGCTTTCTCTTTCTGCTATGTCTGTACCATATTACTGCTTCCACCAATACTGTAACCCCATATTTGTGTTTCCTACAAGATCATAAACTTTTAACATTACTTGGCACAAAATTGGCACATAGTGAAAATTATTTAAAGGAAACAAGTGAAATCATACTTTCATGCTTGGTGAACAAACTGATACCTAACATAGGGTAGTAATAATTTTAGAGGCTTAAAGCACTAGAGCAATAACAATATAATAAACTATAATTTATGAACACTTTGCATGTGCCAGGTATTCTCCCTAGCACTGGAAATGTGTATCTTTTTTAATTCTCATGATCATTTTGGATATTATTATTCATCCTATTTTTTAAATGAAAAAACACAGGTAGACATTAAATAACTTCCCAAACGTCACATAGTAAGTGGCAGTGATGGAATTCAAAATCCAAACAATTTTGACTCTAGAAAACCAAGATCTACATTATAAAATGTTAAAAATTTGCTAAAAGGCTAGTAGAAAATTAACTTACTTCAAATAAAAGTCTATAATAACATCATTTAAAAATTCTCCTTCACTTAGACAATGCAGGTCCTCATTAGTAACAGAGATGCCTCCCTTAGCTGGAGGTGGTGGATATACTATCAATCTGTAACAAAATTTAAAAAAATAAGCAAATAAACAAAAATATATATGTGTATATAACTGAAATGTAATAAAATGGAGAAGAAATTTAAGAGTGCTACAAGTGCTCTCACTTTTCTACAGGGCCCATGAAGATGGTGTGGCTTTCTCCAGCTTCTTCCTCATCATCAAAAAACTGGAAGTCTTGTTTGTTTTTAAGTTGTATCTTAGATTCAAGTGCCACCTGGTAAAGAAAATTAAATTATCAATTCACAAAGTCAATTTGAAAAATTTTCAGTAAAAAGATAAAGTAGAAGGCAAGAATGCTTTCCAATTTTAAAAAGTTAAAAACAAGAAACAGGAAAAACCAGGGTCCACTTTCTTTTTATCTGTAGCTTCTATAACACTGGTACTCTTACAATTTTGTTCAACACTGGTTTTCCGATACCCTGTCTTCTACTTCCCATATTAAATTAGAGTATGTTAGTACAATCCTAATGACAGATACAGTGTTTTTTTTCCTGTAGGAGTGGAGGCCTACCTCAGTTCAGTGGGTAGGCAATCCATGCACTGTGGGAGCAGAGGCTCAGGGAACACAGTCCACAGAGCTTCAGTTCTCCAGAATCAAGGAGCCCTTAAAGAAAGAGCCTTCCATTGGCATTTAAGTCTATCACTGCTGTGTTATGGCCCCAGCTGCTCTTTCCTCCTCTGGAATCATCTCCTGTAGCCAAATCTGCAAAGAAGGGGAATGGTTCCCCTTCTGCCTTCTGTTCTTCTTCTCATCCCACTAACTGTGTGAACAGCTCTTCTGGTGAAGCCATGCTTAACTTCACCAATATTATGCCTTGGAAAGCCCTACTTCCAAATTTGCAGGCAGGTTGAAAGATTTAAGAACTTCTAATAAATTACGTCAGCAAACTTTAGTTGCTGTGGTAGGAGACAAATTTAGAGTATTTAAGCTGTATTTGCATTATTTAACATTATAACGTTATAGTTACAATGTTATAGTTACACTGTGGCCTTTGATTCAGGTGGCTTCAGTGTTATCTACTACATGATTAGTTACTCTAGAATTGTTCAGAGTCAGAATCAAATAGTATATATTCTTTCAAGTTTTCAACTATGTATGTACATGTTACACATAAATGTATGTCAGCAACCAAAATTCCTTTATTTGTACTGAAGCCAATGGCACCACTGGGAACCATCAGCAAATTTAAAATAGAGTAACAATCAATTTCAAATAGTACTGTATGTGTATGTATGCTGAGAGTGGGGGAACAAGAAAAAAGTATGAGAGAAAAAGAAAGGAGACAAAAAGTAAGGACAAGGATAGACTGTGGAAAGGAACTAAAATAAAAATGCTTCTGAGATCTGTACCAATTACTTTGTGTCACAAATCACCTACCCACCATTAATGTTTTGACATAACACAATTTACAAATCACATATAAAAGCAAATAATTCTGAAATGGGATTAAAAAGATTTAACTCAAATGAGCAATGTAATAATGAAATGTATTTCCCTTTAAAGCTATTATTTAAAATTACACTAAAAACATTAAAGATATAATTACATTTTTAATTTTGTTTTCTTTCTGCACACAACTTCCTTTGATGCTCTCTTCATAGGTTCTTGTGCAGGCAACAAGTCTGCTATTGGCTTCTTCAAAGGGAATTTTTGCAAAAAAATTGGACACATTATTCTTTATACCAATTTCAGTAATGATGTTTTCAAATATCATATTTGCTTGAGGATCAAGGCCATTTTGAAAAATCAGAATTATGTATTGTTCTTCCAAATCTGAAAGAAAATCAATATAATCTTAAGTCTAACAGAAAAAAAAATTAAGTAGTTAGATATTAGAAAAAGAGTAACAATTAGTTACTTTCAAGAATATCACCAGAAATCCTAGTATAGATGTTCAAAACAGTGTTTGGCATACAGTGGATATACAACAAATACTAGAATAAAGATCAATGACAGTGTCACCTCAGAAGAATAAGGAACCAGAACACATTACTCTAGCAGCAGCTAAAGAACAACTCTATTCATAGATGTAACTAATTTATTTCATCTAAATAGGATCCAAATAAATTTACTCATTTGAATACATAATCCATTAACATTTTTGTCAAACACAAATAAATTGCCTACTGAAGTATCTCCAGATTTAACTGTAAAAATTGCTATTCATTAATTTGCCAACTCCTATAGCTTCAATAACAGCTATCATTTACTCATCATTACACTGAGCAGCAATTACTGAGGAAAAGTATTTATTTTACAACCAGTTATGCTATGCCACAAATGTTAGAAGGGAAGGAAAACAAACTGGAGAACCACATCTACTTATTGTAGAGGATAAAGACCTGTTCTATGAACTTTCAAATTTCCTATTCAGGTTAAGTTTCAAGGATTCCAGATTGACGGCTGATTTACAGTGAGCACTTCCATCAGCCCATTTTAAAAAAAAAACCACTCATTTTGCTCAGATTATACAGTGTTAAAATAAAGAGTATGTATCTTTTGAGTTTTAACCCATTCTGAAAACTTTCTAAATGGGTAAACTTGGGTTTTTATCTTCAGAACATCCACTTTCTGTGGTCTTTTCCTCATCTATAAAATGAGGGAAGTAATACCTATCTTACAAGGTCACTGTACGGACTGTAGATAATATACACTTGCGGTATCTATCAAAGTGGACTCACACTCAACTAACCAATGTATTGTATGTATTACTATATTTGACCTACATAACTTACTTGTTAACTTATTTATTCCTTTACAATCATTCCAAACTTTATCCTCCATGTTCATCTGCAGTTGCATGCTCAGCTTCTGATAAACTGCTGGTGTTGTCTGAAGAAACACTACTGGTAATTTTCGGACATTACACCATTCACATTTAGTCAGATCAGAGGTATTTAGAGTAATCCCTACAGGATCGTTTTCTGGTTCTGGAGAAAAACAAATGGAAATGGAAAGCGAATCAATTTTTAAGAGGCAAAATCATAAATGGAGGAAACTGTGGGGAAGTATAATTTTAAAGTTAAGTATATATTTATTATGCTCCATAGATAGTAACTCTGGTGGGAAACAAAGAAAAATCTTTGTATCTTAAAGAAGGGTCCACATTTTTTCCAAATGAAAGAGGATTTGCGTTGGTGGTATAGTGGTGTGCATAGCTGCCTTCCAAATGAAAGAGGACTTAATAAAGTGCATTTAAAAAATCAAACTCAGCTTTTGTGATGTTACAGAATGAAATTGCAGTATTAAGATATATGCCCTTTGTTAAGATGCATGTAATAACTAATGATCTTAGTGAATTCTATGAATATTGTTTTATTTTTTATTCCAGTAGTGTTACAGTGTAAACAAAGCTTTAGTGAGCAAAACGACATAAAGAGCTTACCTTCCAGCTGTATCTTGATAAAATCTAAAGAAAACTGAAAAATAAGATAAATTAGTAACAATCATAGATTTTTGAAGATTTTGCTACAAATACCCTAAATGACATGTCATTTGGAACTCAGACTACAGAAGATTAAAAAACTGATCCATGTACCATGTGCTTAAACACAAGATGAGATTCTGCATTCCCCCTGTGCCAATGATCTCTGAAAAAGACAAGCTTCACCTTCTTTATTCAATTGCTTAGAACATTTCTCATATCACTGGTTTATTTCTTACAACTTTAAAGAGAAGTTGACAGACTACTACAACAAACACCTGAATAATCCTTACCTAGATTCACTCTTACAATCTTGCCATACCTGCTCCATCACACTTTGTATATATATACACACTTCATTTTTTATCCCTAAATCTTTCAACATATACCTCCCAAGAACAAGGCCATTTCTCTTAACACAACCAAAACATCACTACCACATCTAAGAAAATCAAGATTAATTTTGTTCAACACAAAGTGAATACTCAGGTTTCCCCAACTGCTCAAAATTGTTCTTTACTGCTGTTTTAACTTTTCCCCAATCCATGACTCTGTCAAAGTTACATTTGTCCCTTCTGTCTACTCTGGTCTAGACCAGAATCTGCCTCCCTCTGTTCTTCTTGACATGGCCTTTGAAGAATCCAGGATAGGTTCTGCAAAATGTACAACATCTTGGACTTGTGTCTCCTCATTTTATAATTCAGGCCACATATTTCCAGCAAATACAGCACACAGGTGGTGTCTTACACCTCCCACTATGTCACTTAGAAGGCACACGATGTCAGGCTGTCTCACTACTGTTCAAGCTTAATCACTTGGTGAAGGCAGTGTGCCAGGTCTTTCCACTGTAAACATTTCTTTTCCCCTTTGTAAGTAAACAGTAATTGCAGAGAGATACTTGAAAACTTGTCAATATCCTGTTTCCTAATAACCTTTTGCCCAATGGTTTCAGTATCCACTGAAGATCTTGCCTGAAGTCAGTTATTACTGGTGGTCATAAAAAGGTGATTGTCTGATTATTTTAATGTAGAGAAGGCACATTAAGCCTGATACAACCTGAATTAATGCTCATTTTGTGTGTTTACATTTAATTCAAGAGAATCAAAAAAGGAGATAAGAACTTCAATATGCATTTTTTAAAAAGTTGGAGCGGTATCTAGACGGATAAATAGATATAGGAAAAGAAAGTTTGGTAAAATGTTAATGGCAGAGTCTAGCTGGCAGTTTTATGAGTATTCACTGTAAAATCTTTCAACTCCTCTGTTTTAAAATTTTCACAGCGGGAAAAAAGGAAACAAGGAAATATACAATAAATCTACGTGTCATTACAACAGTTGCAAAGTCTAGAGTGTCACTAAACATACCTCCTAAAGATTGTGCTTGAAAATAATATTAACTGGTTTCAATGGAAAGTAACAGGTTAACTGGGGACACCAAGAATGGGTATTTGTAGCTTGGAAAACATTCCAACACATATAGGAGAGGAAGTTATATGCTTTAGAAGAGTGTGTCAGATGGCTCAAAAAATGGCAATATGAATGACATGGGAGGAGCATATAGCACAGTGATAGAGCGCATACTTAGCGGGCACAAGGTCCTGAGTTCAACCCCTCAGTACCCTCATTATAATAAATAAATAAATAAACCTAACCCCCCCAAAACAAATAAAATAAAATAAAAATTTCTTAAAAAATGACAAACATTAACGTGGAAGCATTTGAATAAAATTGTTACATGAGATGTATGAATACAAAGAAACATGTCTGAATAGGTATCATTTAAATATCTGTGTGGGAGGGAGGGTACAGCTCAGTGGTAGAGCACATGCCTAGCACGCATGAGGTCAAGGGTTCGATCCCCAGTACATCCATTAAGTAAAAAATGAACAATAATAAATAAATAAACCTAATTATCCCCCCAAAACACAAACAAAAAATTTAAATACATAAATACCTGTGTGTAACTAATTACACACAAATATGAATGTTATAAGTAGACCCTGGGTTATTTTACCTACATCCCTGAGTTTCTAAATTTAAGTTGGCCAAAACTCTTGATTTTTTATCTCCTCAATTTTCTCATTAACAGAATGAGGAATGCACTGTATTTAGGCACACATGGTATTTCTAATAATGTAAGGTGTTTTCCTGTTAAATAAAATTGGTACTTCTACATAGCGTCAATTCTAACACTGAGTGAATTTAAAATAATTAAATTACCTAATAATAAATGCCTATAAAATTTGATAAAACACTTAAAATCTGTTTCCTCAGATTAATGACATGGCAGATAAATCATTTCACTACAAAACATAAGGAGGTTATGTTCAAGAAGAAAATGTCAAATCATCTTTTTTTTTTTAAAATGGAGGTACTAGGGGTTGTACCCAGGACCTTGGGATGCTAAGCATGTGCTCTACCACTGAGCTATACTCTCCCCCCAACAGATCATCTTTTTAATACAGTATACAAAGAAACTACAGATCCACCATACTTCATCAAAGAATGTTCTTTGAGATAATCCCACAGTACAAGGAAAGTTAATACCACAGAGTTCGAATTTCCATATTAAAAGCACTAGTTTTTGGCTGAAATATTTCATTCACCATTTTAATTAAAAATAAACAAAAACCAAAAATGAAACAAAACCCTGTCTCAAAACATTCTATATTACACATACTACCTTTATTTCTTAAAGTAAATTCAGTTAATTTTTATTCACTAGATTAAATAAAAACTAATCTGTAACTATCATGTAAAAAAATTCCATTCAACTTTTAATGTAGTTCTTGATAGGCAGCCTTGAGACTAAATATACAACTTTAAACTAAATGTCTAAATTACAAGCAAGACCTAATCATCGTACTGAAGAGTTCTGAGTAAGTGTTAATGTAAGGAAAATCCACAGAAAACATACAGGGTACTCCTGGAAAATTCTGAGGTAACACAGAATGACATTTTTATTAACTGACAGAAATCAGGAAAGATAATCTGTACTAAAAAGGCTGGTAACAAAACACAAACTTCACTAATCACTAGCAATCCTGACATATGTTACAATGTTATTGGGCAACAATGGACAGTCTGTACATAATTTGCTTTAAATCTCTGATGCATTTCTAAAACTTTCTAGTTTTTGAATCATGAGAAGCTGGAGGTTTTTTTTTTTTTTTTAAAGAAAACAATGCTGGTTTCTCATACAGCTTTGCTGTGATAAGAAATTAGCTCTGCATTTCGTTTTCTCCTGTAAACTAAGCTATAAGGTTCCCCTCCTCCTCTTTTTATCATACTGTATCTTAGAACTATGAATCCCAGATAATAAGTACCTATTATTTACCATAATTTAAATAATAATAAAACTACCTTTTAACTTTCTTGATGTAATAAAATGTATTTTCTTAGAGATACTGCTTTATGCACAAACGACAATACCAGGAGACAGTTTGAAAAAATAGTTGGAAACAGACAGGGACAACCTAGCTAAGACACTATAAAATAAAGGCTTACAAATTAAGTACAGCGCTATAGGAAGATTAACCTACCAGTAATGTATAGGATATATTAGAAAAAAGAAAAATGATCACTCAGAAGGCTTGTTAAGGAGACTATGTTAAAATTTTAAATAGAAAATATACATTTGAATTGGACTGGTGGTAGTAGAATAATGAGTATGAAATAGGATGAGTAGAAAAATGAGATATGACAGGTAAGATAAAAGGACTAGAGAAAGTCCTTTGGGCTTTGTGGACACTGAACTAGTTCATAAGCACAGTGCTTCTCAGGTGGTGACTGTTATCCAATAATCTATTTCTAGGAGTCCCTGTGCTACATTTTCTTTTGGATTCTTCTTTCTTTCATACAGTTCTTTAAAATACTCTTTTTACGCATTAAGCTGGCATGAGAATAAAACAGTAACATAATGGAGGGTATTCTAACTTGGTGAGAATTAGCATCTTCCTATGATGAACATGCACTACCTTGAGCATCATATTAAGATAAATTTTTTACTCACTAATTTTCACAGTGAGAAGCTATTTATGATTGTTTATAAACAATCAAGATTCAAGATTTCAAACTGCTTTAAGCTATTTGAAATCTTGAATTGATTTTAATATTCTATTAAATATTTTAACTTATAAATTTTAAAATATTACATATTAGGCTTAGCCATGAAAATCTGCATCTTATAATTGGTACAGTAAAGAGCTTATAGAATGTACTTACAATTACAGGCTCTATTAATAGTCGGAAGAGTGTTCCCACTCGTATACTTCGACAGTTTAAAATTACACTATCAAAGGAACTTTGGCAGTTTAAAGATACAGGATCAACTGAAGTTTCTTGAGAAATCACTTTGCGACGTTTCAGAGGTGTACTGATAATAGAATTACCAAACTGAAAAAGAAAATAAAATTTTCACTTAATAAGTTACTAGAACTTACTAGCAAACTAAGTAGACATATGCAAAGAAGATCCAACACAAGAAATGTAATTATCAAAACATAAGATTGATTTTACTTCAACAATGTTAGATAAAGTAAATACTTATTGATTGTGTAACAATAACTGTAAATCTTTCCTATTTTTATCTTGCTATATTTTATCTACTTATTAGTTGAAACTCCAGTAATAGCACAGCAGTGAGAAATGGTACTCTGGGAATCAGACAGCCTGGGTTCAAGTAACAGCTATACCACCTTTCAATGATCTCATCTTCTAAAACTTAATACCTCCTTAAGTTTTGGTTTCCTAAGCTGTAAAGTATAAGAGTATTTATTCAAATGAGCTAATGCATATAAGCAGCTTAGCACTATGCTTCATGCACAGTAAAATGTTGGATAAAAGTTAGGTGGTCATAGTGGTGTGGCTGTAGTACTTGGATTAAATCAGCAACTTTTTAGAAAACAGGTTAATTCAGGAAAAGAGATCATTATTCACATTGTAAAATGATGCTTCTTTACATATTAAAAAAGGTTAAAATACTTGATCTGTTAAGATTAAGATTTCATCATCACCCAAATACAAATTAATCATAATATAAAAATATATTTTATAAGTATATAACTTAAAATAAATGTAATTACAAGTAAAATTATTGTGTTAAAAAACCTTATTATCATCACAAGAATAAAACATGATCTTGATACAAAACAAGAGGAAAAATAGGTCCACTGCTTAGAAATAGGCACTATTCCCATTATCCCTCTAGAGACAGTTCTGTGACCTATATCATAGGAAAAAATATGTATTAAAACAAAATATGGTATACACAGACATACTTATTTCTGTAAACTGCGTTTTCAAGCACATTAACAGATTTACCATGAATATTTTCCCAGTTATTAAAAGAAACATAATACAGAGGTTTAAAAACTTTCTTAGCTTTAGAATTATTTCTTCAAATGAGATGTTATTTAGCTCAATAAGTTAGATAATTTAAGAGCTGCACCAGCTGAATCCATAGTGGAGAGACAGTCTAGAAATGGACAGTCCATATCCCCTCAAAGGGCCTCTAAACCAACACTGAGGAACCCTTACCGTCCACTGTGCCAGTGGGAAAACTGCTCATTTACAAATTCCATCATATGGAAAGCCATTATTTATTCAACTGAGCCCTCCTATGCTGGACATCTGGTTTCTTTTCGGACCTTTCTCCATGAAACCTTATTCTCCAACAAGCATTTCTGCAGCAATTCTGGTATACTGATTATCACCAAATTGCCCTCCAGCATAGTCATACCAATTTACATACCTAACACCCATTTCTCTAAACACCAAGCAAAGAGAAATACTAATATACTTAAAAATTTTTCAGCAATCTAACACTTAAAATATTTATCTTATTTTAATTTGGTTTTCAGTACTTTATTTTTTTAAACTCTATTCAGACCATTTACTCATTTTTCTATGGCTTGCTTCTATTTCTTGATTTTCAGGAAATTAAAAATATTTAAAGGACCAACTCATACTGTAAAATACTTCACTATTTTTTCCTATTTGCATTACCTATCAAATTCTGTGGACGGTGTTTTGGTTCACTGTTCTGTACTTTTCACTTAATCAAATATATTCATCCCTTCATTTACTATTTGTGCTTGTGCTGAATGTTTGGAAAGGCATTCCCCTAGATTATATTAAAAATATAATCCATTTCTTCTATTATTATTGTCGTTATCTTTTGTTTTTCATTTCCTATGGTTACCATCTTAACAACCAAGTATGTATGTTTCCATATTAATTTATCTGTAACTCCTATAATTTCTGACATATGCACACACACATGTAACTTTTTAACATACAATTTATTCAAGCTTTTTTACAAAAATAACAAAGTATGTACATATTTCTGCATCTTGGTATTCTCGCTCAACAGTACCATGTGAAGATCCGAAGTCACTGATATTTTAATTTTTATTACCAGTGGCTGAGTAATACTCCATGCTATAGATGTATGATAGTTTCTTCAGCCATTGCCATATTAATGGGCAATGATTTTGTTTGCTAATAGTCATATTAATACATCCAGTCTGTGCACTGGAGGGGGAGGATTCCTTTGAGATTGAGTCTCAGAAGTGAATTATTTGGTCATTTGGTATACATTAAAATATTTTAGTAGATGATTTCCCAAAGGGCCATAACACCATTTTTTCCCCATCAGCATAATTAGGAAAGCACCCTTTCCCTTGGTTCTTGCCAGTAGTACATATTGACTGATTTTGTATTAATTTTTAAGGTTTGTCAAGTATATGGTTATACTTCATTTTCTTTAATTTGCACTTTTCACGTAGAAGTTCAATCTCAATCTCTTCTTTTTGTCCATTCCTATTTTTTTTCCCTCCAACTTTTAAAAGTTCTTGGTTTAGATATTAAAGTAGTGTATGTTACTTGCATTACAAATATTCCTTTCTATATCTATTATCTATTGATGTAATTTCTCTACTTTTTACCATCTGAATATTTAAAAAATTTTATATAGTAAAATATAAAATGCAGTGAAACAATATTATGTTAAAATGAACCCAAGTTAAAATGATTTTTTCCTGTCCATTAGGTCATACAAGTATACTTGTTTATACTTATATTTTGCTTACTGTAAGGCTGATGTTATTTCTTCTTTTTTTTGTATATATATATATATATATATTTTATTGATGTGCAGTTTGCAATGTTGTGTCAATTTCTGGTGTACAGAATAATGCTTCAGTATTACATGAACATACATATATTCATTTTTATATTCTTTTTCACCATATGTTACTATAAGATATTGAATATAGTTCCCTGTGCTATAGATACTGTTTCTTCTTGTTGCATTTTTTTTTTATACTTTAAGCTTTTAATGTAATTGAGATTTATTTTTGTATGTTTTAATGTTCTTTCAAATAATCTTCCAAGTGTTATTTTAAGATCTACCCAATGAATAATCCATTTTTCTCCTACTGACACTTCCAAATTACCCTCCCCAAAAATATTAAGGAGATTCAAGCAGAATAAATGTCTATAAATGTGAAAGTACCTGGTCTTTCATTCTTGCTTTTCTTGGCAATGTAACTGTATTTAATTCTGAATCTGCTGGAATGCTTCTTAGTTCATGCTCTACTCTACAGGTATTTTCATTTAGTGCTGCTTCTACTTTTCCGGTGGATGGTGCTGGAGAGGAACATGCTGAATCAGCAGGTTGAGGAGATACGCTCTCTCTTCTGTTAGTCCTGTCACTGTCATCATCGTCATCATCACTGGACAAAATGACTATAATGAAAATGTTAAATACATTTTCAGTACTTCATTACTGTAAGTTAAAAATGTAAATATATCAATCACCACAGTGAGAAATATACAAAAATTGCTTTAGATCTCATCCAGATCTGAGACTTAATAAAAATGAATGATGATATAATTGATTTTCTCTGATGAAAAGTTAAATTTGGAGGACAACTAGAACTGGCTTTTTTTTTTACCAATATACAAACATAAAGTTGATTCTATAGTCCATGAAAACACCCACACAGAAACATAAACAAGTTACAGCAAAAATTAAATGTTTATCAGTAAGACTATTTCAGAGTTCCGGAAAGTCTTAAGTACAAAGATAATATGCATATGAATTATTCACAAATAGCATGCATTTTAAGTATGTGTAAAACTCCATGTGACAAATAATTTTACCCTACATAGGAAATCACAAATATCAGAACTGGTCCTTGGGAGAACTTGGACCAGTGCCTAATGCTCAATAAATCTTGAGTAAATGAACATGGGCAAGGAAAGACATTAAGTATATGAAGGTAATTTGCTCTTATACCTTGTACTCATTCTTAAATTTGAATTTTATCAAACCCACCTCTATAGCATAATTCCCCAGAGCCAGCAACAACACGCTTGAGTCAAATCCTAACTCCTTACTCTGGTTCACAAATGTCCATAACCTGGCCCTGGCCTCCTTTCTCATACTACTCCATTTTCCCTCTTTATGTTCCAGGTACACCAGCCATTTGTTCTGTTCCTCAAACACCACCAGCTTGTTCCTGTCTGGACTGTAATTCCTCTAACGCTTTCTATTTTTTTGTCATTAAATACTAATTTAAATACCATTTTCTGACTGACTACCCAATGTAAAGCAAGCACACAGGTACTTGGCTCATTCATATCAACTGATTTAAACATCTGTTGTCTTTTGTTGTGGATGTCTACTTGCTCATTCGTCTCTTCCTACTAATATAAACTATGAAAGAGCCTTATGAAAGAGCCAGAATATTGCCTTGCTTAACACTACATTTCCAGAGTCGAAAACAGTGCCTGGCAAAGAAAAAGCATTCAAAAATCATGTGCTGAAGAATGTATAAACATGTAGGAGCAAGTTTCTTTTTTTGTATCCCACACATAAATGCTCAGTTAGTATTTTTTGAGTCACATACAAGTCCCAGAGGGGCATCACCCCCAGCATCACCCTACTTGTTTTTTAAAATTTTGCTATCCAGTCTCAGGAGCAAATGGTAAAGTTGGATCTTTTTCAGAACTGGTATTTTATTAATAGAAAATCTAACAGGCCAGATTAGAAAGTCTAAGCAGATTTACACATACTTGAAAGTTAGGGTTCACTTACTAGCTATTTGCCTCAGTTTCTCCTGTATGAAACTGGGGACAATAATGGTATCTATTTGTAAGGACTGTCTTAAGAACAGATCACTTATTATGTAAAAGGCTTATTATAGCACAGTGCCTGACATACATAAGCTTTTTAAAAAGTCCATGAACTGTTTGTGCTGTTAATGAAACACCACACAGAAATATATAGTAAACAATAAACCTAGTGTTCTATCTACAATTATTTTCATTGTGCTTCAGGAACAGTAAAACTTCTATATCTAATCTATCAAAAATTTATTTCAAAGCCCCAATGCTGCAACAGATAGAGCTGTACTACACAGTTCTTGTTTCATTAACATGGGTTTTATTTGGTGTCACTATAATTGGGGAGAGAGTATGCAAAATGATATACAGTTAAGGAGCTGTTCTCATGGCTGCTTTAATTCTACATAAAATATAGAATATATTCTATATAAATATATGTCTAAGATTTTGCATCAGCATCTGCTATGGACTAAACTGTGTCTCCCCACAAAATCATATGTTGAAGCCCTAACCTGCAATGTGACTATATTTGGAGACAGGGCCTATAAAGAAGTAATAAAGGTTAAATGAGGTCATAAAGGTAAGGCCCTAATCTGAGAGGACTGGTGTCACAGGAAAAAGAGGAGGAGCCCAATCTCTCTCTCTCTCTCTCTCTCTCTCTCGGAAGCACAAAAGAAAGGCCATGTAAAGACACAGCAAGAAGGCAGCTAGCTGTCTGCAAGCCTGGAAGAGAGGCCTCACCAGACATCAGTCCCAGGGGCATCTTGCTCTTGGACTTCCAGCCTCCAGCACCGTGAGAAAATAAACTTCTGAAGTTTAAGCCCACTCAGTCTGGTATTCTGTTATTGCAACCCAAGCAGACTGATACAGTGTCTTTGCATTTACATTCCAAACTTGTTCCCACAGATATCAGCATATCTTCCTCCTCACTTCATGCTAGGCAATAGTCAACAGTTACTTTATCAAAGGTGCTTATTCCACCACCTATCTCAAACAGCACTCGTCTTCATCCTGACACTTGTCACTATCTCTTCCCCGGAACTGCTTCACTTTTCTACACAGAATTTATCACTACTTGGGACATTGTACATTTTACTGTTTGCCCACTGAGGACAAAATAAAAGCTTCATAGTAATAAACTACTTTAACATAAATACAAACTTAGGAATGACAAAGTATAAGAAAGAAGATTCTGGAACCAGAAAAACCTGTTTTTTAAAATCTAAACTCCAATAGATCATATGTACGTAATATTGAGAAACTAATCTTCTTAAGCCTAGGTTGCCTCATGTATAAAATGGGGTATTACTAACTACCTCACAAGACTGTAAAAAACAAATGGAACTATTTAGTATAAATATCTTTTATCACAAAGCAGGGCAGATAAGCGTGCAATAAATGATATCTTAGAAGATAGTTTTCCATATACTTTAATGGGAAATACTGTTTTTAAGTTTTGAGCAGGGGAAGGGAGCAAATATATGCTTTATGGTTTTAATTCATGGTCAATATGGTTCTAGGTTAAGCTTTACATAGTAAACTGCCTAAGGCACCTCAGAACCACATTAATTTACTTTGTTTTTTCACTTATCAACTTAGCCTTACTAACCTCCAGTTTTCCTCAACCTGGCAATGTCCTCAGGATGTTGAGTTTCCAATATAAAGTTTGGCTCAGAATAATAATCTAATACCTGCCTACTACGTTAGAGTCTACTTACATCTTACATTAAAATATAAAAACCTCACCACTAGGAAAGATTCAAATGATTTTAATATTTAAAATGGTATTGGTATAACAGTAATATGTATCATAAAATATTCATCAAATATTAACATCCTTGTAACATCACAACAGAGTGTTGGCTGGACAGCTGTCATACACTAATTCTTTTTTAAACCAGGTTTTTTGAAAATAAGCTAATGTACTGGTATGGGTTGAGGTTTTTATATTGAAATGAGTTAAAACAACTTCTGAGGTTAAAAAAATTCTGAATTTTATCTTTTTATAAAGTAACCAATGGAGAGCTTTTTCCATTATGGTGCATAGGGGGTTATCATTACAAACTAATTTTGATATATTTGACGTATTTCAATATACAGTAGTTATGATTCCTTTGTGATCCAAGGGTCTCATTATTGGTCAGTGGGGGCCCTTTCATTTTAGCTCCTGTGTGCTCTGACATAACCATGGTTGTTTCTGACTGTTTTCATGCTTCTCAATACAACAAGGTGATTGAGGTTTATCTCATACATTCATGCTCCAGACCAGGAGTCAGCCATTTCTCTGAGGAGCCTCTGGTTATTTTTAGTGGAACTGGCCTTCAAAAACACAAATATGGGAACTAGGGTTGTTCATTTCTATAGAGGACTGCTTACTGTTTCTATGCATTTTCTGTGGGTAAAGCTAAAAGATATTTTCTATTTAAGAGAAAAATATATAAAATAAGTTCATATTATTACCTCTAATTCAAATTTAAGGTTACAATTATTTTTACTCCTTTGACTTTATTTTTGTCTTCCTTTTCTCTAACATTAAAAATTAAAAAAAAAAAAAAAGGTAGCACCAGGGATCCTTGTGATGCAACTGTTCCATACCCTGACAGGGGTGGTGGTAACATGAGTCAAAATATGTGATAAAATTGCTTTAAACTACACACATGTGTGCGCACACACCAATGAGTGTGTGGAAAACTGGTAAAATCTGAATAAACTCTGGATTATATCAATGCCAAAAAAAGAAAAGAAAAATCTTGGTTTCTTGAGACAATAATATAACTGCTTATTTGTTTTATCAATATGTATATTTAAAAATAGCAATACTTGTATTATTAACTATAATATTACTGAATACAGTTAGGATCTACTTGGAATTCCATTTGACCTTGAAATATATATCACATTAGGGATACACAGCCACAATATTATTTTAATTTAAATTAATCTGAAGTTGATTCTTCTGTATGTTCAAGTTAACTAGATACATAATTAGTTTCATTTGTATCATTTTGTTTTCAACTTTGTTGTTGTTTTAAGCTTCTGATTTAATTTTGATTTAAAACACTGACATGGTTCCAAAGTCAAATCTATAAAACAAGATACATATTTGGAGAAATCTGGTATCAACCCCTACAGCACTATTTCCTACTCTTTGAACTTCTTTTCAAAATCAGTTTTTGATATATCTTTCCATTAAAAAAATAAAACCTATATTTATTCTTTCACCCTTCATAAATAAAGAGTAGCATATTATACACTCTTACCTGCACCTTACTCAATTCACTTGATTAAAGATCCTAGAAATCACTCTACACAGTATTAAATGAGATCTTTCTCTCCTTTTATAGCTATGTAATAAGCTACAGTCTATTCAACCAGTCCTTGATTATTTCCAATCTTCTGCTACAAAAAGGACTGCATTTCATATATGTATATGCTCATGTGTCTAAAGATAGGAGAAAGATTTAGGGGAGGAACAAAATTGTCAGAGTCCTTTCTATATGTCAAATGCTTTACTGGGCTATGCTAGGCATTTTATGTTATTTTATATACTCCCTCAAGAAAACTATTAGGCAGGAAGTATACTCATTTACAGATCAGAAAGATTAAGTTCACCAGGCCAAAGTTAGAAAGGTGGGCATAACTGGCATCTGACCTAAGACTAGGACTAGAACTAAGGTCTGTTTTTCTTTTTTTTTCTTTTTTAATATTAAGATGGAGTATGAGATGGGAACAGTCAGTTATTACTTTCCAACTACATGGACAGTTTTAATCATCTACCCAAAAAGCATGTTACATAACTGACACTAGAAGATACCTATTAAAACCACACTTCTGAAATATGTGCACGCTCCCATTAAAAACATACATGATAAAAGTAATACAAAAGAGAGTAAAATACTTACTTGGATCGTTTAGATCTGACAGGCTTGTTTTCCTTTCTTTCAGGTTTGTGATTTTGGCTACTTTTGCCCTAGATAAAATGACTTTCCCATTAGTCTGTAAATAATTCTGTCCACTCTCATCACAATTCACAATAATATCAATTGGAACCTTTCCCACACTGTTGCCATAAAACTTCTTGGCTGGTAATGCTGTGTTTTGCGACTTCTGTCCGCCAGAATTCTGATGAATTGATGTTCTTAATAATGATCCCGTAGATTCATTCAAAGTTACAGCTTGTCTGCAATTTCTCTGCAAATCCTTAAAAGGAATACCACAACTTTGGCATTTAGTCTGATTTTCTTTTTCTTTTCCACATTTTGGACAATATCCACACTGTTTAGAAACCTTAAATACCAAAAAAAAAAAAAAAAAAGAAAAAAAAAAAGAAAAAAGAAACAAAACACTTTGGCATTTTATTTTAACATCATGGAACAACGACAAAAATCTCAAAATTAAAGCGCTTACTCTCTATCACCATCACCATGGCAAACACAAAGTCCTGAACGTTACTTGGAATTTAGCATCAGATTGCTGGAAGGAATTTTCAAAACCATCTAGTCCAGTAGTCTTCAAACTGGACTGTTATACTCCTCAAGGGCTACATAAAGATGTTCTAAGCCATTCAGGGCCAAATAATCTAAAGGGAATAGATATCTAGATCCTCAGTTTACACATATAACCTTTCCAAAAACTGATTTGATTATGCTTCTCATGTCAAAGCATCACCTGCCACAACTGTCCTTATCATACTTAAAAAAAAAAACTAAATCCGTATTCCATTTCCATTTGAAATATTACAATGGTGCATTCCCCTGGGGAATAAAAATCACCAAACCAAACAGAAGGATAATTTTAAATGCTGGAAAAATGAATTGATTTTAAGTACTGGTTAACAAAAACTTTTACAAGATAATTTGTTTTTAAGACAGTCCTTCAAAATTATTTTAAGGAAGGCCTAATCTACGCCTCTTACAATTGTGAGATCATTAAAAAATGTTCTTTGACAACAAAGTATCATGTGATTTGGAGGCATATAACCTAGAAGTTCAAGGTATTGGACGATAATATTATAATAAAATTCTTTCCATACTCATGTACTTATTTATATGAATATGGTTCTTCAGCATTTGTATCTATTAAAAAGAAAAATACAAATAGATGCTGAATCCTGTCTCAGTATGTAACATACTTATCCATGGACATATGAAATAACTCAGAAAAACAGTCAATTTCTCTAATTTAAAGATGCATTTCCAATAATTTTACTTTTATGTCAAATAACTATCAAACTTTGTAAAAATACATAGTTTAAATCAACAGTGTACTAGTAACAACTGAAATAACGTAATCTGAAAGAAAAAAATTTTAATGCTTTAGCCTTATACCACAGGTGAAAATGAGATGGTAATTATCAAGTGTTGTGATATCTAGACGCTCCCAGATCCCTATGAGAAGAGTGATTTAACCACTGTTTAAAAATGTTACTCCTTTCACTGTGTCAACTATTATATACTGTGTGACCATTTAAATTTGGGATGAAAAATGCTAAATGTCAACTTAAAAATACATAAGAGAATATACAGTTATTTAAAATTCTTTTAGGACTTTTAGGTAACAGAAGACATCAAGTGGTTGCAGACCTACAGATAGGTGGTAATTATAGATGATTATGTGTATACACAAATTTCAAAATTTACTGAACTGAATGCTTAAGTTCTGTACGTTTCATTCTATGTAAATTTATAATTCAAAAATAACACATAGAAAGTCTACAAGCAAAAAAAGTCTAGAGAGGCTACTACTCTAGGCTTATCACCTTCCTTCAAAGATGAAAAAACTAACAAAGAAATCGCTTACTTTGCCCAACATGACCCATGATCAGGCTGTTCTATTATGCCATGTTACCTATTCAAGGGTCTGCCCCAGATAACAAAAAGGAATGAAAACCAACCTTTAACCAGGGCAAAACTGAACTTAGTAGAACATTAGCTCACTATTTCGGCATATGTGGATTATTTAAAAAAAAAAGCGTATTTCTTTCTCTGCCAGTATATAGGAGAATTCAATTATGTTCTTTTGAATGCGTAGGTAAGCTATGCAACAGCTGGTTAGACACAAATATGGGACAGATTAATTGACTCTTATATTTTAGCCTATTGCCAAAAAGGGAAGGAAATAATAGTATATTTAAATGAAATACAAACACCACAAATAATTGACCATGTCCTACTGTACCTGAAAGGGAAAACTATGAACAAAAAAGTAGTCCCTACCTACATACACCCTGTGATGAAATATTTAATCCTTTAAGAAAAATCTAAAGCCCATTATTTTCATGATGAGCAAAGACATAGTCCCACTTCTAGCTAAGTTTAAAAACTACTGTGATGCACTCAAAAAAGTTCAAAGACGTTTATTTATGTGGGAGCAAGAGCCCCATTTGCCACAGTGGGAATCAGCAATACATAAGCTGTCTTTTAAGAACTGATTATATGATCACGCTGCATTCAGACTGACTCCAATACTTTATTGTCTATAATAAAGGATGCATTTCAATGAAAAGCAATACTTCCACATATTTTCTTCTATAAAATTGATACTGAAATGGAAAAGGCACTTCCATACTATTAAAATTTCCAATACGAAAATACAGAAGGAAATGTATCATTAGCTATGTCATATACCTACCATCAGCTAAGAAACACATATCTTAGAAATGTCTGCAACAATTAGGAACAAAATGCAGATCAGCTGAATCAAACATGGTTATTAACTTTTTCATGATAAAAACTAGAGGTTAAGAATTTTATCAACCTAGTGATCTAAAAACTAGAATCTCAATATTGCTCACTTTTAGTAAAGTATGTGTAAAGTAGTAAATTTTCGTAACAATTTTATGTTAAATATTTCTTTTGGAAAACAAAGATTAATTAAGGTCTCATTTTCCCCCTTTTGATAAGTGGAAGATTTTCACAAAATAAAATAAATTCAAAACACGTATCACAAGTTATCTGCCAGTCTCTATATATTAATAATAACCAACTCTACTTGATAAGAATGAGCCTGTCTTTGATGAGACACCACTGAAACAATGTCATATTTAGTAAATATTCTGAACTTTCTATCATCACGTTAAATATCAAAGAACTTGTTTTCTTTTAAGCAGGATACACTGAAATTTCAGACTACACACGGAAGGAAAAGCCACTATCTTGTTCAAGAATTTAAAATTACATAGAGAGTAACTACAATCTATTCTTTATCTCCACTAAGAAAGGAGTAAGAATAAGTGGCATGGGGGTAAAGAGTAAAAAAAGCAAGCTATTATTTTAGATGTTAAAAAAATCCCGAGGCTTCCATCTGGCATGACTAGTGGAGGAAGGACGGTGTGTCTGGGGAGGAGCTTTCCAAAAGACTTTTCTCCTTCTCCTCTCCCTGGGTCAAGCAGTGGGCCAAGCAGCGTGGGGCATGCTCAGATGGCCCTGGCAAACCTGAGGTTGGCATGCATGAGACTGGTCACGTAAAAGGCAACTGAGCAAATAAGTAAATACACTGGAAATGATGGGAGTCAGGTTACTCACTGTTAGAGAAGGGAGTTACAAACATGCAAACTAGGAGAGGCTAAAATAAACATTGTGGTATTGGACTAGAATTGGAGTTATCAATGTGAACTCATGGATTTTAATATGTACTAAATACTGACACATACACACACACATGTATTTCACTGAGAGGACCTAAAGCTGTGACACCCAGTAGCAAAAAGCACAACTATTGCCCAAATATCTTTCCTCCACTTACAGGAACAACGCCTCCTTAGAGAAATGCTGATGCAGAGAAAATACAAAGTAGTCTAGACTATCTGGTTATACCATAAAGTAAGTAAGTACTCAAAGAATAATGGGTACAGATCAAAAAAGAAACAGTAGCCAGCATGGAGAACTTCCCATGGGCCAAGTCTGGGACAATATGAGCATCACAGTAAATGATGATAGTTACAGAGTATAACTTTTTTGAGTAAAATAAGAAACTATGTGTCTATGCTCATAAAAATAGAGGAATAAATAATATGGGATAAGAAAAAACACTCATTAGTAAATAAGTATAGAAATACCTATTAAATAAAATACCTATTAAATGACTGGAAAAATCTGGAAGAGAACATCTTAACTAAGATGAAAGTGAGTATCAGCAATAATGTGAAAATCAACACTGTGCACCTCGTGATATGAGGCAGTAATCACAGCATCACTCCAGAGGATTCTTGAAAAATGTATAGACCATGAAGAAGCACCAAACAAATCCAACTTGAGGTACAAGGTAAGTAGCCTATATTCCTCACAAATATCAAGGTTATGAATGACAAAATAAGATCAAGGAATTATTTCAGATTAAAGAAGACTAGAAAAGATCATGACATCTAAATGTAACATGATCTTGAATTGGATCCTGTTCCCAGAAACGACATTAGTTATGGAAAATTTGAAAGAACTCTGTGGATTAGATGGTAATTTTAGATCTATGTTAAATTTTAAAAATTTGACAGTTGTACTCTGGCTACATAGGAGAGTTTTTTTTTTAAGGAAACGTGCACTAAAGTGGTAAATGGGCATTCTGCCAGTTACTTATACCCAAATGGTAGAGAAAAATACACACAAAGAAGAGAAGCTGAAAGGAAGGCAGAGCAAGGGAGAATAATAAAGCAAATGTGGAAAACTGGGGAATCAAATAAAAGAATATGCAGATAGCCTTTCTATTATTTTTTTCATTTTTTCTGTATATTTAAAATTATTTCAAAAAATTTCTGGTTGAGAGCAATTATTAGAAGTAGGTTGCAGGGAGCCACTCAAATTCTCTTCAGAAAAAAACATATATTCTGGATTTTTGATAACTGAAAAATGATCTAACAAAGGCAGAGAAGTTTGCATAAATAACTTTTCTAGTTCTTTTCCAGTCTTATGTGAAAAGGTCACCTAGAATTTAATAAGCACTAAAAAAAAACGAATAAAAATACCAATTGGTTAGAAAGAAAGGATAATTTCTCTACCCACCTCTAAATCAGTTAAACATTTTTTGGAAGCAGGAGACAGAGGTGATGGGGTAGACTGATATGTACTACTGTGACGTTTCTGTGGTACTTTCCTTTTAATTTCAGACTCCAGGTGTGATTCAGACTCTTCTGTTTTCTTCATTATACGATCTAAAGGAAGGAAAAATGCCAAAAGTACTGAAATTAAACTTTATTAATTCCTCATGATTTTTGCAATGAGAAAATACTAACATATTATCAAATTATGTTTTAGTTAAAATAAACTGTTTCAGTATGTACAATAAAGCAAAACAGAACTTTAGGTCAGAGCCAGGGGCCATCTCCTGGTTGTTCCTGTCTACTTTTCACTGCTCATTAGAATCTCCCCCACCATCCCAGACACTGTGGACCACTTTCATCAAGAGTACCAACACTCTCTTCAGCTTATTCTGTGCTACTAAGGCAACAGAAGCACTTCCTGCACTGAATTTCTCTCCCTCTCCCTCTCTCTCTTTCTCTCTCTCACACACACACTTTTTTTTTCTAAGTTAGTTACTCTTCTTAGAATAGTAATGAGAAAAATTTGAATTTAAATGTAGGGTACAACTGTTTAGATAAAGGAAACTAATTCTCAATTCTGTTTTTTTTAAATTCAAGATATACAAAAGAGAATTTTCTTCATTATTTTTCCATGTAAATTAAATCATTTTCATTAAGGATATAATTAGAATTCTTTAATGGTTTAATGAACTCCAAAACAGGACAATTTAAAATTTATTACAATCAGACTTCGTCAGTAAAGAAAACCAACCAAACGTTGGTTTCAAAAACAAAAGTTAATAAATCCACAAACCAAAATGCTCTACCTGCATAATATCCAAGTTTGTTAAATACTTCCATTTTCTTATCTTTAACATCCTCTTATTGTTTGATATTTTTAAATAATGAGATGATCCACACATAAAAATCAACATTTTCTAATATTTCTGAGTTTGATATGCAACACTGCCTTAAAAAACCCATGACATTATTCTTTTTTAGTGTAATCACACAGGAGCTCCACACTAAGTGACTTCAACCTTCTCAGCCTTTGCACAGTTTGAACATCTTTATTTTCTTGGACACCAAACCTAGAAATCTAAGTAATCGTTGACTTCTTCTCGTGAATCCTTCCCCACATTCAAAGGAATTCTACTAACAGCTCCTCAATCCATTCCTTCCTCTCCAACTTCACTGCCACAGTATTTCAAATGTTTAACTCTTGCCTAAACTGATGTCCCTCACTCCAATTTTGCTTGCTTCAAATCCTGCACTACTGCCAAAGAGATCTTTCAAAATATGGCTCGATCATTCTAATGCTTAAAATCTTTCAGTGATTCCAGTACCCTGGGAGAAAGTCTAAATCCTATCTCTCGGCAAGCAAAAGTCTGTATTGATGTTCAAGTCTTATTTCCAAAAAAAACTGTACCTCAAAGAAGTGCCTTTCTCCAGAGCCCTCTTTCACCCTTACATAAGCTGTTCTCTTTACAAGCAAAGCCTTCCCTATTTATCTAGTAAATTCAAACCATTCTCTGCCCCACAGTAAGCACAACTAAGCAAGTCCTGAGGGCTTCCACAGCATTTTATCCATACTTCTATTAGCACTTTTTACTTTATGCTAATTATTTGCACTCATCTATTTCCTCCCAATATATCGTCAGCTTTGAAAAAGCAGAAATCATGTTTCAGCCACATGTTTTCTCAGTGTCTAGAAACTGCACAAGGTAAGGGCTAAAAATGTTAACTGGATTAATGAATCACACTGCAAAAGATAAGACCATATGACATATTACAAAAAGAGGAAATCACACAGGTGAAAGGAAGGGATGCTGTTACAAGGTCATTTCTGAAAATGGCCTAACTCTGCCACGAAGATACCGATACACTCACAGATCTAGAAACAGAAGGACTTAGCCAAGGAGAGGAACGGAAAGCTGCTCCAGTCAGAGTATCTAGGGGTTAGTTACAGCCCTATGAAGGCTAACTTGCTTTGTTACATGGATTAGATCTAAAAAGCCGTTTCCATACAAATGAGTATTAAAGAACCATAATGTGACGACAGTAAGAGAAAACGAGGCAGACATGGTTTGGAGTTCAGAAAATACATGCACAGTTATCTGGAATACAAAACCAATTACTGGCACAATCTAATCTACAGAGAGCTATCTTAAAACGTGGGGTTTCTACCCCTTCAACTCTTCTTGGTCTTACTAATTATTGTATGTACACAAAATAGCTTTTTCCTCTTAACCATATTTTAGGAACCTTTGTAACCCCCTCAATATCATTGCAAATCACTTTGCTCAAGAATGTAACTATCACTTTCCTACCATACCCTACTTAGAGACTGACATTTTAAAAACTATTGGGAGGAGGGCATTTAAAAAATTAAAATACTATTATCACCTCATTTCTGATCATCACACTCATCTCTCCACTAAAGCTATCTCATCATATCTTTGTCACATTTTCTCTATTTCCTATCATAATTAACAAGGAGGAAACAAATGGCCCAAGCCTTGAGAGAAATTGAAAATTTTTATAAAACAGAGAAAAATGATTTTAAAATTTTGATTCCTAAATCAATGTTATCTACAAGGTACTAAAGGAGAGAGACAGAAAAGGAAAAGAGTAACATAATTAGAAGTTTTACGATGAAACTTTTGAAACCAATGTGATGTGGAGGTGTGGCAATTGACTGACAGTGTATGGGGAACAAGACTAGTTCTACAGAGACAGTGAGCATAAAAAAGTTAATGTCGGGATCAAGCACTTCCTTGAGGATTCTACCTTCTATGGAAAGAAGAGAAAAACATTTGAAAAAAAGTATGAGAATTCATGTGAAAATTAACTAGTCTCATGTGAAAATTAACTAGTCTCAAATTACAGCCAGAAACATAAAATGCCAAAAGACTTAAAACTTGACTAGTCTAGGAATGGCAAATGCCTAACAATTGCTTCATGGAAGTTTCACTAGCTAATCGATCATGCAAGTCATTTTTCCTAAACTGTGACACAGTCTCGAAACCTTCAACAAAGTACTCCAGGGAGGTGCTTGACATGAAACCTATGTGACATTCTTGCTTTCACTGAACTCCACTTCTAGGGAGGAGAAGGTGAACAAAGAGTGTTCACTCAAGATCACAGAGTAGGAACACCAAGATTAGGATAATTCCTGCTGATTTTCCAGCTCAAGGTCTTTTTAATATACTGCACTATTTCAAATATGCAGAAAATGTGAGAATATAGAAGACATGAGATAAGTAAAAGTGACTAATAGGTTGGCTCTTTACAATAAATTTTAAAATCCAAGTTTTAAAAAAGGGGTCCGTCATAAAAAGAACATTTATAGCACCTTTACTCATAACAGTAAAAAACAAATCCCCCCCCAAAAAACTGGAAACAACTCAACTAAAGAGGTACAAATTACTAATGCATGCAACAACATGTTTGAATCTTAAAAAATTACCCTGAGTGAAAAGAAGTCTTACATAAAAGAGTACACATTGTATTATTCCACTTATATGAAGTCCCACAACAGCTCATTTTAATCTATGCTGGGAAAAATCAGAAAAACGGTTACCTTTGAGGGGGCAGGGATAAGGAGTAACTGAAAGGAATATAAGGGAACTTTCTGAGGTGATATTATTTGCACCTATGTCTTCCCAGAGGTTTGGGTTAAACAGGTGTGTGTACTTGTCAAAATGTATACAACTTCACACTTAAGCTTTGTGCATTTCACTGTATGTTAATTTTATTCCAAAAGAGAAAAAGAAAACTAAAACATATATTGAACTCTAGATAATGATATGCCTGTTGCAGTGTAAAGTAAACTGTACTGTGTCTGTAATTTACTGTAAAATACATTGGGAAAAACTAAGATGAATTGATCTATAAATGGATGAGTAGATACACAGATATGTAATAAAGCAGTATAGAAAAGTATTAATTGTAGAATCTATATGGTAGATATATGTATATTCACTGTAAAGGTCTTCCAACTTTTCCGTATGTTTGAAAATGTTCGTAACAGAAGCTGGAGGTGAGGTGGGGCAAGGAAGGCCCTTAACTGTCTTGTTTGAGAATTCAGTTGTAATATTACCAAGGTGCTAGCAAACATATACGCCACAGCTAGTCTGAAAGCAAACAACTATCTTTATTCTGTTTATGTATTTGCTTTTGAATTACTTTCAGTCTTTCAAAAGACAAAGACAAATTAGACAGTTGGTTTTCTCTATCAGGTAATTGTCACTATGAGTAATTTTCAGTATAAAATAAAACTAAAGTGATACATCACATTCTTATTACAACCTCCTTAAAAATCAGCTTTGGCTATGCTAAATATGTGATAAACAGACAAAGGACACAACAGGCAGACATGAATAAAAGAATAAATTCAAATAGCCATTGAACATATAAAATACCTCACCAGTAATGAGGAAATATGAAAAACAAATACTATTTCCCCATCAAACTGGTTAAGTTTGAAAGCATGATAATATCTAATGCTGCTGAGGAACACACAAGAAACAGGCACACTCAGATACTGCATGCTGGGAAATGACACCCTTTATAGAAAGTATTTTGGCAGTAACATACCAAAAGTCTTTAAAATGTGCATAACCTTTGTCCCTGTAATCTTATATCTAGGGATCTGATATAAGACAATAATAGATAAAATACACAAAATGTGCTGAATTATTAATCATAACATATATTAATATCAAAACATTAAAAATCTAAATTATGGGACATAAATATAGTGGGTCACTATACATTCATTAAAAAATGAGTACAGAAACTTGGATATACTAACTTGTAAAGAAGCCCATTATATATAAAGTCATCCATTTGATTCTTAAACTTCCCTTAACTATGTTTTCCATTCTGGTTTTCCTGTGGTATTCCAATTCTTTCATGAGAATACAGCAATCAGATAATATCATAACAAAGTCAAAAAGCAAGTTATAGAACAGTATATGCAGTATAAATGCATTTAAAAAATGGGTACATATGCATAGAAATCTGGTAAGTTATATATTGAGATACTAATAGAAGGTACTTTGACAGGATAAGAGTGAGAAGATATTTTTCTTTTGTACATGACTTAAATAGTGCTAAATAGTAATTTA